AACATGGAGGTGTATGGAGGCTCTGCATGTGTGAAAAGGAGTTATCTAGCAACTGTATACAGGAAGATCCTCATGGTGTCTGTTTCTTGACCTGGCCTTGCCTGTTAGGTTGACTGGCAAACAGCAAGGCAGGTGGACCCCCAGAAGCCAAGAGCCCGTTTGTCACCTCCCCTCCACGGCCCCGGATTCTCATGCCAGGAGGAGCCATTTCATAAACCAGCTGTGCACTCTGCTCTTCTCCATTCTTCCTTCCAGTAACCTTGAAGAAAGAGAGCAGAGACTGGGAAAAGTGAATTGTACCATTATCATAAACAAGACTGATCATCCACTGGATCATTCAGCATAAGGTAGCACTTTATTTCTAAAGAAGATCTAAGTGCTAAAGTTGAAGTAGAGATGGCCACTGGCTGTTGGAGAGAATGAGGCTGTCTTGCAGATCCTCACTTAGATCTATTCACTTGGCTGGCGACATTTCAGCGACACCTTAAAGGGAGATGGGGATTGTGTAATCGCAAAGTGTGGTGTAAAATCTGGAGCTTGCGATTTATCTGGCCACAATAACTGGAAGTTTCTGAGAATGCTGGTGAAAAAGAGAAAGAGCTGCATCCGAGCCAGGTTTTCCCCTAAGCAGACTCTTGGTCCTGAAAAGTCAAAGTGAAGGAGAAGAGAGGCATTCAGCCATTCAGTCAGCTGAGGGCTCCAACCTTTTTCAACAGCTGGACCTGTTTGGTCCTCCCCACAATGATCCCAAATCTCACCAGGTTGCCAACATTTCTGAGTTTTTTTCCCTATTTTCCCTCTCTAAAGGACTTACCTTGGATCACTCCATGCAGCAAGTCTTCTATTGCTTAGACTGATATTCCCAGGTAGGGATTCACTTCCTTCCTCTCTTTTCCTGCCTGACTCTGACCTGGGCAGTTCAGGTACTTACCTGTCGCGTTCTTTCTCCCTCAGGCAGAGAGCGCAATTCAGGCTCTTCGCTGTACAAACACTTAACTAACTCAGCCTTTCTTGTGACAGGCCATTTTTCTCAATAAAGATTAGATGTATTGTTCTTTCAAGCCTGCAATGATGCTAAACCCTCTGGTCCAGACTAGTGCAAATATCCCAACTGCTGCAATTCTTGCAATCTGATCCCTTCCTCGCAGTAAACACTATTAGAGGAAACCT